AAAAAAAAAAAAAGATAACCCTGTGAAAATAGGCAAAGAGTCTGATGAGAAAGCACCAGGGCGAAGCCCTGGGGGCAGCGAGCACCAGGCAGTGCCCTGTTCACTGGCACCAGCAACCTTAAATAGACCTCATGCGTGTACGTTCCTCGGCGAACAGGCAAACGTCGGTGAACGTGGGCTGAGCTCAGCTCTGCACTCGTGGTGTGCTGGGAAGGGGCAGAGCCGGGCTGGTTCCACGGCCTCCTGAGGGCCATCCACTGCTCATGACTCCATCCAGGTCTCACTGCTTTGAATTTTCCTTTCTGTTTTCTTCCACGTTCCCTTTCTGTGTTCTTAGGCACTGCTCCCTAGTATTCCCTTTTGGCTTTCTTTCCACAGTCTTCCCACCAGGAGGAGGGAGGCGTCAGGCATGGGGCAGGCAGAGGTACCAGTGATGGGCTGAAGAAGCAGGATCAGCCAGGTCTTGGCACCGGGAACCATTAATGCCACCCTGGGCTGGGGGCTCTCACCCCAGGCAAGCGTGAAGGCTGCCCTGGCCTTGTTGAGGAGGCTCCTGGGAATGAGTGATTGGGGAAGCCTGCTCCACTTATCCTGTCTGGGGAACGGGTCCCTTCGGTCTGGGTTGTGACCAGATGACGTGAGACTAATACCAGAAATGTGGGAAGCCATTTCTTTCCAGTCTAGTGGGAAAAGTCACTGACATTCACCATCAGTGACGTGAATGCCGGAGTCCTCTCATTTAACTCCCCACGGCAGGACACCAAGAGCGCAGAGGATGAGTGTCCTTCCAGACACCCAGGGAAGCAGCGGCCCGGCTCGGCACAGGTGGGCGGCGGACACAACGGCCTGCGAGGCCGGAAGGTGAGAACGGCGGTGCCCGTCCTGGTGTGGCGCTGTGGGGTGTGGCCGGCAGGGAAGCCGGGGACTAGGCGCTCTGGGCCTCTTGGAGGGGCCTTTGCGTTGTCACCAAGGGCTGTTCACAATGGCCAGGTGAGCTGCAGAGTGCTTGCTGGGTGGTCCCATGAGGGTGGTAAAGGTGTTGGGAGGGCCTGGGGCCCCTTAAGCGCATGGGGCCCATGCTGGCCCTTTCTTTCTGTGCCCCTCAGTACATCTGCCCTGCATTTCAGCCCCTGCCCATCGCAGCAGGGCGGCCTCTGCTCTAGACTTGTGTTGTCTAAGTGTTCAGACAAGCACTGAGATTTAGGCACTGCCCACACCCAGGGTTCCCAGCGCTGGGACTCACTCCGGTTGCACCACTATCTGCAGCTGCCTCTCCTGGGTGGTCCTGGGAGCATCTGCCTGGGCCTTTGAACCAGGCCCACTGTCTCCTCACACTCCAGGGGAGTGGCTTGGGGGAGCCCTGTGGCTTCTGGGTGGGAGAGGAGTGACTTTCAAGACGATGTCTTTTCTAGACACAACACAGCATTCACACGGTGACCTGTCAAGCACCCCAGCAGAAAGAAGCCCGGCCTCCAAAGCCACCCCAGGCTCAGGAGCACCCTGAAGAGCTCGTTCACCACTCCCACAGCTCCTCCTCCTTTGCCAGCGGCACGCTCCAGGACACGTGGAGGTTGCTAGACCTGGGATCCAGCCCCTCTGGCCTCACCTCCCATGGTGACTCAGCTCCAGGTAGGAGACTGCCCTCCCTAGGAGCTGCCCGTGGCTGGTAGCAGGGGGGGCCACCCTCTCCGAGGGGCATGTGCAGAGTCAGCGCCTGCCTGCTTCCCACACCCTGAAATCCCTGCACTTTGGCTGAGTAATGTGTGGAGGCTCCTTACCTCTCATTCAGCGCCTGAGGGTTTCCCGGGTGTTGGTGCAAAGCCCTGAAGGGCAGAAACCATGCCTCATAACACAGCCCTGTACACCCGCGTGTACACTGCGTACCTGACTGGGAATGGAACCCAGGTGAGACGTGCAGGTGTTGGTGCACTTTAGACGGCCCTGTTCCCAGGGGAGAGCCAGGCCAACCCCAGTGGTGCTCAGCCTCTCGGGCCAGACAAGCGTTAGTCACATCCTCATCCCGTCCTGCCCTGCTGCGCAGATGACGATGCCCTGAGACTCTTCTCTGTACTTAAGTCACAGGCCTGGCAAACTCAGTGGGTTACAGTGGCAGCGCCTGCTGGTGGTCTCAAGAAGTTTTCAGGAAAATCCATCTGAAGGGTGTACCTTGGGGAGACTGCATGGGACCATGATGTAGTGAGAAGCGTGGAGAGAAGACGCTGCTTTGAGGCGGCTGGAGACATGGACCGTGCGATGCGATCGGGATGGGAACACGGGTCCGTCCTGTGTTCCTGTTTAGAGGGCGTTCCCTTCCTACCTTAGACCTTCCGTCATTCATTTGACCATTCTTTCCTTCGTGTGCCTTTTAGGCTATTACAAATAATGTTAGAGTGGCAGCCTTGCACACATGCTGCACAGCGTGTGTGAAAATCCGCGTGTGGGTGCCCACGGGGGCTTGTCTAGTCAGGACCGCGTGCACGCCACGTGGCGGACAGCGTCTCAGCCTCCGCTGCCCGCCCAGTGGCTGCTCCCAGCAGCAGTGAATGAGGAGAGTCACCTGTGGCAGACGGAACTTTCCTGGTGCCCGCGGGGTTGGAGTGAGCGCTTCTGTCGGGAGCTCGTGCATCTTCACGTGGGTTTCAAGACACTTTTTCCTGTTCTTCAGTTCTTTGCCCATTTGTACGTAGGGTTGTTGTCTTTCTCACTGATCTGTAGCAGCTCATTACATGTAATACAAATTAGACCTTTTCTGTGGCAACAGTTCAAATGTTTTCTCCCAGTTCTTCATGTTTTTAAATTTTTCTTACGGTGTTTTTTTATGTTCATATTTTTATTTTTATGTAATTTAGTGTTCTTGTTTTTTATCTTTTCTGGGTTTTATGACATCTTTGGCTACCCCAGGCTTATTCTCTTGTTTCTTCTGATTCTGCTCTGCTTTCATTTTTGTGTGATTAACCCTGTGATCCTTTTGGAATTTTTCATGGTGTATGTTACAAAGTAGGAACCACTTCTGGTTTTTTGTTTTGTTTGGTTTGGTTTGGTTTTTTTTGAGGTGAAGTTTCACTCTTTTTGCCCAGGCTGGGGTGCAGTAGTGCCATCTTAGCTCACTGCGACCTCCACCTCCTGGGTTCCAGTGATTTTCTCGCCTCAGCCTCCCGAGTAGCTGGGATTGCAGGTACCCACCACCACACCCAGATAATTTTTGTACTTTCAGTAGAGATGGGGTTTCCCCATGTTGGCCAGGCTGGTCTTGAACTCCTGACCTCAGGTGTGCCTCAGCCCCCCAAAGTGCTGAGATTGCAAGCGTGAGCTACCATGCCCAGCCAGAACCACTTCTTATTAACCCCTGATGGCTCCGGAGATGCCCCAACCCCAGTTTTCGGTGGCTCATGCTTTCCGGATTATTCGAACTCCTGCCTTTGTTATGATGCTAAATGTTCCATGTGCACTTGGGGCTGTATCTGGACTATTCGGGGCTGTATCTGGACCATTCGGGGCTGTATCTGGACTATTCGTTTAGCTGCTCTCTCAGTGTGTTCACAGGCAGTCCCGTTGGGTCTGAATCAGTATCACTTCGTGGTCCCTTTGCATGTCTGGCTGATGTAGGGTCTCCTCTTTACCCTTCTCTCTCAGAATTTTCTTGTATTGTATTTATATTTCATTTTTTCTTTCTTTTTAAATTTAGCAGAGAAAAGGCTGGGCATGGTGGCTCATGCCTGTAATCCCAGCACTTTGGGAGGCTGAGGCAGGTGGATCAGTTGAGGTCAGGAGTTTAAGACCAGCCTGGCCAACATGGAGAAACCTTGTCTCTACCAAAAATACAAAACTTTGCTGGGCCTGGTGGTGTGTGCCTGTAATCCCAGCTACTTGGGAGGCTGAGGCATGAGAATCGCTTGAACCTGGGAGGTAGAGGTTGCAGGGAGCTGAGATTGCACCATTGCACTCTGGTCTGGGTGATGGAATGAGACTCTGCCTCAAAAAAAACTCATAGAGATGGGGTCTCCCTGTGTTGCCCAGGCTGATCTCAAATTTCTGGTCTCAAGCGATCCTCCCGCCTCAGCCTCCCAAAGTGCTGGGATTGCAGGCACGGCCACCATAATTTTTAGACTCGGCTTGTCTGAGCCTGGTACTCCAGCCCCTCCTCACAAATGCCATTGTAAGTGTTCTTAGGATTGGCGCAGCTTCCCTTCTGCCTTAGGAAAGAATGGGCTTGCGCCACAGGCTTCTGTTCCCCGTGTGCTCAGGGCTGTGATGTGTTTACCTCTGTCTTCCACGCAGCCGCGTCCTGATGTCTTCCTGGCCCTCCCGCCTGCACTCCGTAGCTCTCCTTTGTGCTTAGGATTCTTAGGGCACTGCCTCCTTGAGTTTTTAACTCACAGCAAAACGTTTCGTTGGAATTTTCATCAACTGTGGGAAGTTCTTCTGGAGACAGCTCATGCTCTTTCGTTTGCTTATTTCCTTTCTACTTTCCTCTTGGAGCACTTTTGTTTCTTGGTTCCCCCCTCATCTTTTTTTTTTAGTTTATCTTTTTAGAGGCAGTGTCTCACTCTGTCACCCAGGCTGAAGTGTGGTGCCGCGATCTCAGCTCTCTGCAGCCTCGACCTCGAGGCTCAAGCAGTCCTCCCACCTCAGCCTCCCAAGTAGCAGGGACCACAGGCACATGCCACCACGCTCAGCTAAGATGTTTTTAGTTTTTTGTAGAGACAAGGTCTCGCTATGCTGCCCAGGCTGGTCTCAAACTCCTGGGCTCAAGTGATCCTCTCACCTTACCCTCCCAAAGCGCTGGGATTACAGGCATGAGCCACTGTTCACAGCCTCATCTTTAAAACCGGTGAATTTTTACTTGACTAGCTATTTGAAAAAGTTTATATGGAAAATGAAGCCAGAGCTATTTTCCAATCCAGCAGAGTTTCGTTGTTCATTTTAGCTTTAAATACAAGTCTGTGCCTATCAGGGTTTTCACACAGTACAGCTTCCCTCTTCCTTTTCCTAAAGATCCTGCATTTTACAAATAAGGCCTGTTCTGTTCCTGGTTCACTCCCTCTCCCCTCTTCCAGGAACTAAACAAGGCCAGGGAAGCACTCGCTGCCAGCCCATGTTCCTGCTTCAGAAACAAGGAATTAGGTCCGACCCTCAGGGCGTGCCCTCACCTTGAGAAATGCCCTCGCCCCCGCTTGCTGGCATCTGTAACAGGCATCTCTGTGTGCCCTTCACACAGCTCTTGCTCAATTCCTGTGGCCTTTGGGAGCGCCCCCCCCCCCCATTTCTAGCTCTTAGTTTTAATGAAAATGAAGTTTGCATTTTTGCCTTTATCTTTTTTTTTTTGCTTTTGGTTGGTAGTGGAGGAATGCTAACTTCGTGATGCCTTCTTCAGGTCTGAAATCTGTCTTGTTTCCTGGTCAGTGCAGCCAAAGAAATGCGTTTTCCTCCAAGCGCTGCTTTGCTTTAACCCTGTCTCGTAAATCTCAACATCCTCGTGTGTCCCTCATCTTTCCCTTGTAGGACTTACAATTCAACTCATTTTGCTTTCACTTACATGGAATTTTTCCTTAAGTTTCTGCATT